AAATTTGTTTACTAAATTAAATAGATTGCAAAAAAATTTAATTTGGGCAAGAAAATTTTGATATTAATTATAAAAATTGGGTGAAAGTTAAAAAAGGTAAATCAATTATATTTAAGGGAGTATTGTTTCTCATATTATACGAGATAATTTTATCTCTTACACATGCATACATAAAAGTGTGTGGGGTCAATGTTACATTCTTTTTCTTTCTTCTCTTTACGTGATCCCACATAGACTCTACACAATTTTATATATGTGTAAGAGATAAAATTATCACATATTTACTAGATTATTATTGACCGATCCTTGGGACTGAGAATATTTATTGCATTGTGAGCGTTTCAATGTAAATAAATAATAATAAATGGTTTCTCTGTACTCATTATATAATTGAACAGTGAAGTAGTAATATCACATCAAAATTAGAGATGGCCTCTGCTGCATTCTTGTGCTCCATGTTTGCTTTGGCAATGACTTGCGTTGCTCGTCCCATTCCCTCAGGTATATATGCTTAATTATTGTCTATTTTATAATGCTTCTCTCTTTATATTTAAGAATAGCTCTTCTAAGAATTGTCAAAATTCTATGCAACTTTTTTATATATATTTAAACCTTAAACTACCATATTAGTGAACGTAATTGATGTGGGTTTCATTTTATTTGACAGAGAATTATGAAAGAATTTTGGCAATTGTAAACTATGAAGAACTACACAAGCACCCATCTCTTCCAAATCATGAGTATCAGTCTCAAACCTTGCCAGATTTCGAAGAACCACTCATGCACACGACTCCAACACTCAAGTCTTCATATTTTTCGGGTACTTGATAATGGTGTTTTAATTACTTTAACAACTTGCTCATGGATAAATTACAAATTTTTGCCTATAGGTTGTTGCTTAGATAGGTGAAGTGGATAAAAACTTTATATAGATATATTACTCTAATACATTTGATGTGTGTGTGGGTTTTATATATGTCATGTTGTAGGACATTTTTAGTGTCATGTTGCTCTAATACATCTGATGTGGATCCCACTCAAAAAAATAAAATAAGGTGCGGTTATCTTTTTTGTGAGAGTAACATGACCCTACAAGTATCCTACAACATGACATATATAAATTGAAAGTCTTAGTAACGATTTTTAATGTGTAAGAAATCCAAAATACCATATGGTTCATTGATTCTATATATACATGTTGGAGAAAAAAATGTTTGTTCTTTTAAAAGATATAAATTTGTGTCATTTTAAATAAAATAATTATATTTTTGTGCATAATTGATAATTTTTTATATTTTCTCTCCTCCATAAAATTTGAGAGAGAGAGAGAGAGTAGAGGAGAGAGAATGTAAACAAGTACCAATTATGTACTATAATAATGTCGTTTCATCTAAAATAATACAAAATTATATTCTTTAAAAGGAGAAACGTTTTTCCTATAAATTTTATAACTAAAACAAGATTTGAACTAATATTCGTATTTAAATAATCATCATCTTAGACTCTTCTATTTTGGTTATTTGAAAAAATAAAATCATTTCTCATATAATTTTTTTTTTTTTACAGAGAATTCAAAAAGGCTGCTGGCAGATATAGACTATGAAGGCCCACATACGCACCCAACCCCCCCTCCCCATCTCGAGAAGGATCACTTTTAAACGTTGTCAAGTTATAAGCCATCAACAATGGGATAGTACTAATAAGGGCTTGTAATAGTTTGTCAGATGCTAAAATTTTCAATCTTCATCCCTAATATGCTAATGTGCCAAAAATGCATATTAGGGAACTTTCTCGTGTGCAAGTTTGAATAAGAGAATATTAACCTCCTTATCTTTATGTAAAAGTTTGCATCTTTCTCGATCGCTTGTTTAATTAAATAAAAAATATCTTTCTTATTTAGTAATACTTTTTTTTTTCTTTTGGTATTTAAGTCGATTATGAAGCTTTCTCCAAATATTAGGACGATAAGCCTTTGTTGAGCTATCCGCATGTCAATACAATTTAAATATTCATTTGTCAACATCTTCAATAAATGAAATAAGAAAAAGCATTAATTGAATGAAATGGTTAGTCAAACATAGTTATTTTTAAAAATTAAAAGTATTTAATAATTCAATTTTTTTATACAATTTTTTTAAACAATTAGTAATTTTTTTAAAAACAAAAGTGATAGGATAAGAGAAATAAAAAAGTTTTAGTGATCCCTTTTACTAAAAAGATTATTTTTTTTTTACCTTTTTACTTTCTTTCTTTTTTAGTAAAAGAGATTATCAAATTCGGTGTCGACCAGTAAAGTTTTTCTCGATGATGTGATATGCCAAGCTTCCAAGGATTTGGATACAAGGAGAATATTATGATACCTGGCCATATCTTCAAACTAGATTCGTTGACCTTCTCTTTTTGGTACAATTAGTTGACCTTTTCTAATGACACACAATTAAGACTACATATGATTTATCAATTGATTCTTTGACTAATTTATCCGATAGGTAAGGGATTATCTTTTTGGATACTTAAGTGTCAAAGGTAAAATTAAAATTCATCAATCTTAAAATCAAACCCACCCAAGACTACATGTTTAGAAATTCGTTTTTTTTTCTTTCTAATAAGACCAATATACACAGTTGTTGATACTTGATACGTTTAAGGTTTAATAAAAATATTTAACTTCACTTACCAAAAAAAAAAAAAAATTAACTTAGACATAATATAGTGTGATTATTAATATTTTATTAGTAAGAACTCTTTTTCACAGTTGATGATAATTGAATCCTTAATGAAAAAGATGTCCACAAAAATATAATAATTATAGTTACTTCGTTATTTATTAGGATCAAAGTTACTTTAGTATATATATAGGAAATGATGGTAGCTCAGTTGGTAGGAAAGGAGCTGAGAGTAAGTAAAAAAGAAAGTGCTTAGATTCGATCCTCACATGTCATTTTTGGGAGGAGTTTAAATATCTTTGACCTACCCCACACTCGGGATTAACTTCATAGTCGGCTCAAAGAGTTAAAATTTGTAAAAATATCGGAGGACTCACCTTAAAAATATAATTAGGGTTGGGCAAAAAAAACATTGTTAGTTGTGGCGAATTATTCAAGTTATAAAATGGCTTTGGAATAACATTAGAGCGGTTGCATTATTCTGTATTGCATATAGGCTTAAACAGAATCATTCCACGAAAATCTAAGAATACCAGTATCAAGGTTATTATTATTTTATTTTATTTTGGAACTTAACCAAGGTTATTATAATAACACACGTTAATGATTTTTTCGTCACTAATAGCTCAGTCAAAGAGTATAAGGAAGGAAGAAAAATAAAGGCGAGGTTATAATAGAAGTGATAAAAGGAGTTAGCTAGGATTCTGACGCAATCAATAAGTAAATTAAGAATGTGTACTCACAACAAAAAACTGAATAAAGAATGTCAACGTTAGAAAATGTCTACGTCATTGGCCAGCATATGAGAGGAGCTAGATGCGATAAAATTGACCTTGGCAACGGTCACCAACCCCAAATAAAGGTCGTTTGTGTTTAAAAATTCTCTCATATTAAAATTCAATATAATTTATGTGAAAATTTTATGTTTATTTTTTTATTGATATTGAATAAGTGCGTTCTAAATAACATTTATGAAAAAGCGATAGACATAAAAATTTAATATGATTAGAAGATGTGAAATTTAATCACGAATTTCGATTCACCCCGAAAAAGCTCTTAATTAGCCAACATGAAAGGCAGTGCTAATTAAAGTCAAATCTCCAATACAAGGTGCTTCATCAATGCACATTCAGCACAATTATTTAGTTTTATATTCCTATACTATTTTTTTATGTTTATAAAAATGAATAACTTTATTTTAGTCAACTTTCAAATTGTTTACAGACTTTGATGCCTGCTTCATGCATGCAAATCATATTCTTAAAAAATTATGTACTAGATATAGATTATAGTAGGTCATGCTTACAAATTCAGAGAGAAGATTAATGAAGAGGAGTTCTTCATATATTTTTTTCTTTTAATTTTCTCAAACTATTTGACACATTCTTGCTTTTTCAACTTTACCAACTCTACTTCCATGAGCTCAGCAGAGAGAAAATCAAATGATCTTATAATATTAATTAGGATATTGCCTTATAAATTATCCGTAATTTTATTTTAAATTTAAGTACTGTCGACGATACATATATAAATATAGTAAAAACTATTACATTTGGGACTCATATCAAAAATAGAAAATCCTGAACAGTTTTCATAGGACAACTTTGAAGAGGACAAAAGAAAGAACTGGTCCAGCATAGTTGTGCTAATTCAAAAAATCTAGAAACCGGCCAAACTATTTGGATTGTGGTTAATCTATCCGCAAGAAATGACACACGAAGATGTGGTCAAAGTGTCAAACATCATAGAACGTTTTTAACATTAAGATTTGACCATTCCAAAACTAGACTAAAAAGAAGCCTTTCTCTCTCTCTTTCTATTATTAACATTAATTAAACATCCAAATAATGATTAAAGGGGTCCCACTTTGACCCATTATCACAAACACACATTCTCTCCTATAAATACCTTCCTTCTATCTTCCTCTCCCTTCTCATTTCCCATTCAAACAAAAACAAACATAGCATTGTTTGAATACGAGGAAAAAAGAACAAGAAAAACCACTTCCAACGTTTGCATTGCAATATCAACATGTCTTGCTCCGTCGCAGTTTCAAGTTCTCCTGTGTTTCCTCTCTCTTCCTCTCTCTTCTACAACAAGGAACCTCTCACGCTCTCTATTCCCATTCTCGAGCCCCCTTCTAAGTCGCCGTCATGTTCACCACCCTCCTCGCCGGTGTTGAAGAGGAAGAGACCGACCAAGCTTAACATACCCGCTGCTTCTCTCACTTTTGGGGTTCCGGTGGAGGCGCTGTCGCCGGCGGCGGCGAGGGACGTCGTGGAGGTAGAGGGACATGGGTTTTCTGTGTATTGCAAGAGAGGAAGGAGGGAGCACATGGAGGATCGTTACTCCGCTGCCGTTGATCTTCACGGAGAACCAAAACAGGTAATTAACAACAACAAAAAAAAAAGTTTTTTTTTTTTTTTTTTTTTTTTTCTCTTTTGGAATTGTTGCATTGGATTTGTTTAGCGGTTTATCAATTATGATGATTGCGTGTGTTTAGGAAATGGGGTTGTGAGAAAGTTACCAGCTTTTGAAGAATTGTATAGTTGTGATTTTGCTGCATATGAATATTGTAGCTGCTTTTGAAACATTATAATTATTTTATGTAGAGTAATTTGAAGCCAAGTTTTTTGCTTAGGAAATTGGTTTCTAGGAAGATATTCAATTTTATATGCTCTTTTCTTTTACACGTTATCATGGGCAAAAGTGGGAAAAAGCCTTTAAGTTCAATGCTTGAGTAATAATTATTTGAAGCTAAAACTTCTCTTAGTGATTCATTGCAATATGTGAATCAAAATCGGGTTGTATGTTTGGTCATTACTTGGGTATATATATGGACTACTGAGACAAGTAAATTTGGAAAGAGCATAATGAGTTTAAGGTTAATTGGGGTTTGCAGGATGTACTTCTTAGTTCTTATGGTTAATGAGCAAAATGAGTGCAATGCAATGAATTCTAACATGCAAGTTTTTCTTTTTTGTGATTACTACAGGCTTTTTTTGGAATATTTGATGGGCATGGAGGTACAAAAGCTTCAGAATTTGCTGCACATAACTTAGAAAAGAATGTGTTGAATGAAGTGATAAGAAGGGGTGAAATTGATATTGAAGAGGCAGTGAGACATGGTTACCTCAACACAGATTCTGACTTTTTGAGAAAGGATCTTAATGGTGGCTCTTGCTGTGTAACAGCATTGATTAGGAGCGGTAACCTTGTTGTGTCCAATGCTGGTGATTGTCGTGCTGTCATTAGCAGAGGAGGTGTTGCAGAAGCCCTCACTTCTGACCACAAACCTTCAAGGGAAGATGAAAGGGACAGAATTGAGACTCAGGTAAGCATGTGATCACGATGCAATCTTATGTTTCATGATTTGATTTGTAATCAATTAGGATTTAATACTATATCATATTTTGAAAGAGACTATTTTCTGGCCATGAAAAACTTAAGAAATTTCTAGGCAATCCCGTTGAATTTATATAAGATTTAGAATCACTAATTATGAAAATAGGAAATTACAATATGATATTGGGAAAATACAAATAAAATCCTAATTGATTACAAATCAAATCAAGAAACATAAAATGGAAATTTCTCTTTTGTCTTTGGGGTTCTATGTCTGGTTCTTAATTTGAAATTTGTTTTGTAGGGTGGCTATGTTGATACATGCCGTGGTGTTTGGAGGATCCAAGGATCTCTTGCTGTTTCTAGAGGAATTGGAGATAGACACCTGAAACAATGGGTGATAGCAGAACCTGAGACCAAAGTTTTAAGAATTGAACATCAGCATGAATTGTTAATCTTAGCTTCAGATGGATTATGGGACAAGGTATAGGACTTAATAAGCCATTAATTTGCACTGTTAATAGAGTACTTTCTTTTTGAAATTGCATGATATGATTACTCAACTAGTTAAACTGATTAACTGAATAATTAAGTTTCTCTTTTCAAATCTTGTTTCAGGTTAGTAATCAGGAAGCAGTGGATATTGCTCGTCCTTTTTGTGTAGGGAGCAATAGACAACAACCATTGCTGGCTTGTAAAAAGCTCGTAGAGTTATCTGTATCACGAGGCTCTGTTGATGATATAAGTGTTATGATTATCAAATTGCAGAACTATGTTTGAAGTCTCATTGGTACAAGAGAAGATTCTACCCTCCAATTTTAAATCTTCACTCTTAGCCTTCAGCACTAGAATCAGTCAGAGGATGATAAATGTAATTATGGTTAAAGGAAAGAAGCTGGTCCCATGAAATCAAGAGTCCTTAATTTTCAATATGTATATATCCAAAGAGTAAAAAAGAAAAAGAAGAGATATATCCAACGGGTGACAACATTTGCAAGGGAGAATAAGAGATATTAAACTAACTTAAAGTAAATTTTTTTGGTAGAATGATCTCGATGTAATAAGCACTTTTTTGGTACAAAAGTGATAGAAAAGTTTGAATCTTCAAATATATTGTGATAATTTCCATTAGATAGAAGGTCACTTCTTTCCGACTCCAATTAACTTAGGTTAAAGGTGTCGTTGACGTTGATGTTGAGAATGTCACTTCTTTGTATATGAATAAGAAAGGAACCACTTCAGAATAGATTAAAAGAACTTGACATTTCTTTTTTCTCTGTGTGAAATAAGCACTTCTATTATAATTTATGAATTCCCTGTTTGGATCATCCTTTTTTGGATCATCTCTTTTTGGATTTTTTTTTTCTTATAAGCAAAAGTTAGGTCAAATAAATTTTTATAAAAATGTTAATAATAAAAAGAGTTTTTTTTATAATGAAGAAAAAAGCCAAAAATTCCTAGAAAGAATTTTTTTTATGTTGTATTAGCTTTTTTTGAAATATGCGTTTTTTTTAAATCATGGCTTTTAAGAAGCTTTTAAATTAAAAATTTTATATAATCATCAAACAATTTGTAGCTTTATTTCTAGAGGAGGGATATTCTCACTACCAAAATTTTCCACTACCAACTTACTACCTATCTAATCACCGTTAGATTAACATTTTCTCTCTCTTCAAACACTTTTTAACATTCTCTCTATTTGATCGAATGGTGATGTGATGAGTAGTAAGTTAGTAGTGAGAATTTTTGGTAGTTAGAATATCCTCACTCTTATTTCTAAAGCTCTTATTTTTAACTTAAAAGTAGCTTTTAGAGAGAATCCAAACAGGCTCTGAATAGGATTAATGTTTCTCAACATCAACATCAACAACACCTATATCCCAAATTATTTCTCATATTATAGGAAATAATTTTATTTTCTACATATACCAAAAAGTGAGTGGGGCAAGAAAAGAAAAGAAAAGAAAAAAACATGATCTCGATCCTCACACTTTTATATATATATAGGAGATAAAATTTATCTGTTCCGATAAACATTAATCCCTTTATAAATACGTATTATACTCCGAATGAAGGTTGGCTCAAGTTACGCAAACACGGGCAAAAAGTTTTTTAGTGGTGGAGTTTTATTAGTAAGGGGAAGGATATTGTAACAACCAAATTGTGTTACTACTAATCAATCTCACCGTTAGATCGATTATGTTGATCCAACGGTTATATTTATTTCCATCTTTGTATGGTTATGATTCCCCAAATTTAAAGTGAAAGCATTAAATATGAGAAATCATAACCATACAAAGGTGGAAATAAATATAAAGTATTAAATTTGGAAAATCATGACCATACTGTTGGGCTTCCTCCTTCAATGCTAAGCCCAAGCCCATTTGAGGGGTTTCCTAAAAACCCTAACCCTAATTTCCACCTCCTCTATATATACTCATTAGTTGTGGGTGGAGGCTAGGTCATATATATGAGAGAATTTTATTTGACAGATATTTGAGAGAAAATTGTTTGAGCAAAGCTTTATGCTTTGCATTTGAGAGATCTCTAGAGAGAGTTTGAGTGAAACATCTCTAGGGTAGTTTGATTACCACCATTGTTTAAGAGGTTGAGTTAACCACCACATTGGTGTATTCTGATTATTTTGTAACCATTATTTTCATAGAGGATTTTTGATCTGGACTAGGTCCCGTGGGTTTTTACTTCTTCATTGAAGAAGGTTTTCCCACGTTAAATCTGATTGTGTTCTTCTTCTCTCTCTCTCTCTCTCTCTCTCTCTCTCCTGTTTTTCGTTTTTGATTTTTTCGCTGCGCTGCCTGACCTGGTGAAATTCAGGCCGAGGTATTGCTGAGATTTGAGATCGAGGATCTCATTGACTGACTTCCGCAAAGGCCCCTGAGCCGATCTGAGGGAACCGATGAAGGACCTTGGCCCTGCAAGGCAAATACTCAAAATCAAGATCATCCGAGATAGACAGAAGAAGCTACTGTGGCTGAGTCAAGAGAAATATATTGAGAAGATTCTGAAGAGATTCAGCATGGACAAAGCCAAAACAGTGAGCACCCCCCTTGCCGGACACATAAAGCTGAACCACAAGCAATGTCCGAGATCTGATGAAGACAATGATGAGATGATGAAGGTCCCGTACCAATCCGCCATCGGAAACTTGATGTATGCAATGGTTTGCACTAGACCCGACTTGGCGTATGCTGTTGGAGTGGTAAGCCGATATTTGTCAAACCCCGGCAAAGAGCACTGGGAAGCAGTGAAGTGGATCTTCAAGTACCTCCGAGGTACGACCGACTTATGTCTCAGATTTGGAGAAGGCAAAGCCGAGTTGCAAGGCTACTCGGATTCTGATTTAGGGGGAGACGCCGACTCGAGGAAGTCGACTACAGGATATTTGATGAGATTTGCCGGAGGAGCTGTCTCTTGGCAATCAAGACTTCAGAAATGTGTTGCACTATCGACAACTGAGGCTGAGTACATTACTGCTACTGAGGCAAGCAAAGAGATGCTGTGGATGAAGAAGTTCCTCATGGAACTCGGCCATGATCAAGACAAGTACGAGCTGGGTTGGGACAATCAAAGCGCAATCCATCTTGCGAAGAATTCAACCTATCACTCCCGCACTAAGCATATTGATGTGAGGTATCACTGGATCCGGGATGTGGTGGAAGGTGGAGAGCTCGAACTCGTCAAGGCGCACACTTACCAAAATTGGTCCGACATGATGACGAAGCCAGTTCCAGCAAGAAAATTTGAAGACTGTTGTGAAGGAGCCGGGTTGATGCTGAAGCCGATGCATTAAAGTCGGAGGGGGAGATTTGTTGGGCTTCCTCCTTCAATGCTAAGCCCAAGCCCATTTGAGGGGTTTCCTAAAAACCCTAACCCTAATTTCCACCTCCTCTATATATACTCATTAATTGTGGGTGGAGGCTAGGTCATATATATGAGAGAATTTTATTTGACAGATATTTGAGAGAAAATTGTTTGAGCAAAGCTTTATGCTTTGCATTTGAGAGATCTCTAGAGAGAGTTTGAGTGAAACTTCTCTAGGGTAGTTTGATTATCACCATTATTGGAGAGGTTGAGTTAACCACCACATTGGTGTATTCTAATTATTTTGTAACCATTATTTTCATAGTGGACTTTTGATCTGGACTAGGTCCCATGGATTTTTATTTCTTCATTGAAGAAGGTTTTCCCACGTTAAATCTGGTTGTGTTCTTCTTCTCTCTCTCTCCTATTCTTCATTTTTTATTTTTCCGCTGTGTTGCCTGACCTGGTGAAATTCAGGCCGAGGTATTGCTGAGATCTGAGATCGAGGATCTCATTGACTGACTTCCGCAAAGGCCCCTGAGCCGATCTGAGGGAACCGAGTTCCCAACACATACAAAGATGGAAATAAATATAACTGTTGGATCAACATAATCGATCTAACGGTGAGATTGATTGGTAGTAATATGGTAGTTACACAACTTGAACTTGGTTGTTACAATATCCTTCCCCTAATAGTAAACCATATCTGAGTTTAACTGCAAGCAACTGCTGAAATTTATAATATGTCCTAGCCTTGAAATGGGTCTCGTAAACTTAAATGTAAAAATAAAAATAAAAAAATCATATTTGTTCAGTTGGGTTGAACTAGAAATGTTCAACTAATAGAAGCTCATGTTTTTATCTAAGGAGGGGTGACAGAAATGTTCAGTTGTTTATATTGCAAATAGTTTTCCAGCTGCTGACTATGATTACTTTTCCTCTGTCAGATGTTGATTCCGTAAAGCCTTGAAACGAAACAATGCGAATATAGTTCTTATAATTCTAAGAGTGGAAAAAGTCCCATCATGCATAAGTTTGAGGACAAGGAAAACTTGAATTCTTTTTTAAATAATTATGAAAACTAGTGTGAACGGATTATTAATTTAGAACCATCATCATCGATTTGTAAAAGAATTGGCCAAGTTTCGTGGCCATTACGAACATATATTATGTCCACACGGGACCACGGAGTAAAGATCTAGAATCATATTATATGTGCTGCACACCATGCACTCACTTCACTGAATGCTGAATAATGAATCACAACTCCTTGCAACCACAAAAACGTAGTGGGAATTGTTGGCTGCAAATAAACTTGCTGCTATTTTACACAATTTTTTTTATAGAGTTTATCTTCTTCTTTTACAGGATATAAATTTATCGCTAACAACTCTAAAACTATGTCGTTTTAAGGGATGTGGAATTAATAAAAGGTGTTTTAATAAAATTCATATAATAAAAATAAATTCTAAAATGTCCTTCATTGCTTTTTTCAATTCCCAAAACAACATAGTTTTGAGGTTGCTGAAAATAATTTTATCTCTTGTGGCAAGAAAAATATTTTTCCTTTTTTATAACAATTAAATGTTATTGAAAACTTTTAAAAATTAAGGGATAAAATATGGGATTAATGTTTCTCCTGTCACGTGATAAAGTTATTTTACGCAGCCCAAAAACGACGTTATTTTAGGATTACAAATTAAAAATCACGAGTATTTTAGTAAAATTAATGATTTAAAGAGAAATGTGAAACTGCAGGAGATAATTTTATCTCTTATGGCAGAAAAATGTTTTTCCATAAAATATTATGATTATTTTTTTCATGCTATTCTATTTACTTTTATTCACATTGTTAATTAAATTATAATCTTAACCAACAGTGGGAGAATAGATAAAAAAATGAAAGTCAATTGAAATTGTGATCTAACCATGTTATAGAAGTATAAAAAAATAAAATAATATAGGCATAATATCTTATTCCAAAAACTAATTATATTTTACATATATACCAACACATGTATACAATTATTGTTTCTCTCTATTAATTTTGACATAAAGATTGATAATTTATAC